GTGCTGGATTTGTTTAGTTTTGATTCCTGATTTATTTTGTCAATCCCTGACCGTTCTTTCCCCATCGTCTCCTGAATCTCCTTGTTTTGTTGTGCATTTGTCTTGTTTCAATTTTGTATGTTTGCATTCCCTGCCCTGATTAGCCTCACTCATGCTCTCTTACTCAATTTTATACTTTTTTTTTTTAAACTTTCTTACTCGTCTAGCATCCTACATTTGGGTCCTCTAACTTTATAATGAATTCATTTTAATCATCAGCACCATCACAATCCAGTGAAAGCATGCTAGAAAATGTTTTCAGTAAGAACCCTTTATTGCAGTGTAAATTATTAAACAATAAAACAAAAGAAAAATCATGTGGTCCTCTCTCATTCATGTCACTCATATTTCCTCACTCCATATTTTCCATTTTTATCATTCGTATGCAAATATGGCCAGAAGTGTTTTTTTTTAGAGAGAACAGTTTATGTCTGTTGTACCGATCTACCCTCTCACTCTTCATGTGTTTCACAGGCATCAACCTCATGGTGTCACAATTGAACCTTTGCAGCTGCATGGAGCTCCAGCTTGAGCTCATCTTTGCCCCCGGCCATGTAGAGGTGTCTCAGGTACACAGCACAACCAGCGCTCTCTCTGTGACTCAGCATGTGCGCGCATATCGACCAGGTTCCATCTGCAGGGTTGTACCGCTACACTGGGGAACATTTAGAAGATAGCACAAGTGAGGGGAGGCCATGTATACTATTTAATGCACAACCACATACACCATGTGTGTAGCACTACAGGTTGGGAGTGTTTATGTAGAAAAATGCCCAGGTTGTCATGGGAACGACTGTGTGGCAGGCAGAGTGTGGACCTAGATGCAGGATCCAGGAGGCAGAAATTAACTCAAAAACTCAGTTTTATTGCTGGAACTTAAGAAAGAAAAACAAAAGAAATGCAGAGCAGCACATAAGGAAAAATAAATGAGGACCCTTGGAGGAGGTAAACAAACTGCCATGAGGGAAGGATACAACAAACAACAGAGGGAGACTCAGACAATAAATACACACCAAGTAATTAGAGAGACAGGACACACCAGGGAACACAGCTGACACTTGTTGGGAACACAAAACAAAGAAAGCAAAGCCAAACAGAGTGCACAAGAGACAAGATACTAGCAAAATAAAACAGGAAGTAACTAAACATGGCATCATTAACAGACAAAGACTTGACAGATGGCATGGGAACACAGGGGAACACAGGGGAACACAGGGGAAATAGAAAGGGATAACTAAATATTACATAACCAAGAAGATGAACTAGACTGCAGACAGGGGAAATAATAAATGCCAAAGGAAAATGTGAACTGCACTAATTTACAAAAAGAGGCAATCTTAAAAACAAGTGTTGAACCCGCAGAGAAACACTAAGCCCTGGGTTTAAGACCTATAACACAGGCTTTACTAATCTACTCTACACAATAAGCTAAAAGTGTTTCCTGTAATATATGTACATTTTTCAGTTTGTAAAAAAAAACATGTTGGATATTCCAAGCCAAGATTGTGTCCAAGAACTTGATGGGAACCAAAAAAC